ATTTACAGAATAAATATATTAATGTTGAAATGTAAAATACTAGTACCCAAACAATAACGAAGTCCTTGAACATACTCATTTCAATATATTCTGTGAAAGAGGAGATTTTTTTTTGCAATTAATAGTTCAAGCCAAATTTTAAAACTGTGGAGATTATATTAATTTTATTTTAAAATTATACATAAACATTAGTTTTATCTTTCACTTTAACGTTAAATCTAAATTAACCCGAATGGACAAAGAGCGTGCTCACTTTTGTGAGCACGTTAATGAGCATGCTCAAAATCATCATTTAACGTGCTCACCTGAGCACAATCAGTTGAACATGCTTGTGAGCACATTGTGAATATGCTCACAAAAAAACAAATTTTTTGAAATTTTTTATTTTATTGAGCATGCTCGAGAGCATACTCAATTCCTAAATCTAAGCATGCTCACTTGAGTACACTCTTAAGCATACTCGTGAGCACATTGTGAATATGCTCACAAAAAAATCAATTTTTTTAAATTATTCATTTTATTGAGCATGCTCGAGAGCATACTCATTCTCGAGAGCATGCTCATGAGCATACTCAATTACCAAACTTAAGCATGCTCACTTGAGTACACTCTTAAGCATACTCGTGAGCACATTGTGAATATGCTCACAAAAAAAACAATTTTTATAATATTTCACATTTTATTGAGCATGCTCATGAGCATACTCAATTCTCAAATTTAAGCATGCTCACTCTTAAGCATACTCGTGAGCACATTGTGAATGTGCTCTAAAAAAACATTTTTTTTAAGATTTCACATTTTATTGAGCGTGCTCAAGAGCACATATATTGAGCATACTCTGAGTATGCTCATGATTTTGTATATACTTCACAAGTCAAAGTTTCTAGAATTATATATAGTTATCTACTTTTTAACTATAAACATTGTTTAAAAACATTTTGAGATCAATTTCGAAGTATTTAACTTTGTTATAGTTTATATATGAGTTTTTGCCATAATAAATTATTAAGGTAAATTGCAGCAGTGGTTTAATGGTTATGGTAATGGTCTTATCAACAGAGCGGTCGTGAGTTCGAATCCAGGTAAAATCCAAAATTTTCTTAAGTGTCTTTTTCAGATTATTAATGAACAAAATTTATTCTAGAACATTTATAAACCTTACAATAGTAAAATATATCAAAAAAATAATTTCAAAATTTAATTTTTTTGAAAATTATAAAATAATGTGAGTACACTCAGTGAGCATGCTCAGAGTACACTCACGAGCACACTCACTGAGTGTACTCAAATGTCACATCATATGACATAAAAAATGTTGCATGTCACACAACAATTTGAGCATGCTCAAAATTTGTTAAAATAACGTGCTCAGAGCATGCTCAAAAAGCGTGCTCATTAGCGTAAAGTAGTGGCATCACTTTTCGTATGAAAGAGCACGCTCACGCGAGCATGCTCAGCACTAAATTTGAGCGCACTCATAGCGTGCTCTTTGTCTATTCGGGTAAATGTGTAAAGTTGACAAATTTTCACAATATAAACGTTTGTGAAAACTCTGTGGTATCGTTAAATAAATAGAATACCAGATATTTTGGTCTATCCTTCATTCTTTTATTTATTCAAACAAAGAGATGTATGTTCATAATGTCAAATAGAATACGCTATTTTGCATCAGCTTGCTTACTTATCAAAATTTGAAAAATATAAAAGTTTTAAAAACTAGTTTTTTTTTTATTAAATTGTTTTTGAAATACTCTTAAAAAACAAAAATAAATTATATCAAGATATATTCATAGATATATTCAAAGATCAAATGAAAAAAAGTTTGCAAAAAAATATAAAAAAAAATTCTGTCACATTTCCAGCTCGATGAATTTGTCAACAAATTTGAAACTGAAGGGCCCGGAATTGTGCAAGATATGGATAGAGGACAGAAGTTGATGGAGATTTATACGAGTGATTTTGAGAAAATGGAATTAACCCGTATAGATATGGGTAAGCGAGTTAAAAATAAGTTAAAAGTTGTTATCATTTGTGACATTTGTCCAAACTTAAATATTGTTTTAAATAAAAACGACAAAAACAATATTTACAACCTCGTGACGATCCCTTCTTATTTTCTTAACAATTTAATCTTTTCAATGTTTAGATTTAGACGCGATTTAAAACCTTTAAAACCTTTCCCCTTCTCTTTTATTGACCTTTTCTCTTTTTTCTTGTACTACTTTTTAACGTGAAGCTAAAGATGGTTTATTATGCCGTTTTTTAAAAAATAATTGAGTAAAATTTAATAATCAAGGTCAGATTCGAAATCATGCATTCAATATCTTTTATGAACTGAATTAAGAAATGCGCTTTAAATTAAATGAGATAATTTGTATTTGCTTTCTTACCAGTCGAAAACGCTGCTAGTCAGTAAGCATAAAAATTATCTTACAAACCGTAATATAAAATTAAATTATCATCATGAAATACTTTCCATTTCCTTTTTCATCCAATTTCAGTTAATGCTGAGAAGCTTTTTGATATTGATGTCGCTGATTATAGTCGATTCATACAAGCTAAAGATGAGTTTGAAAGAATGCAAGTTATTTATAAGCTGTATCAAGCACAGAAAATTGCTCGTGAATCATGGGGCAAAACATTATGGAGTAATCTTAATACACAAGCGCTCACTGATGGAATCGACAGTTTTATTCGTGATTACCGAAAACTACCAAAAATTGTTCGACAAATGCTCATTGCAAATGTCCTCGAGACAATAATGAAGCAATTTAAAAATGTTGTTCCATTAATGGCGAGCCTAAAGCATGAAGCCATGAGAGAACGTCATTGGAAAAATTTAATGGAAAAAACTGGCAAGGCATTTGACATGTCGCCACAACGTTTTACATTGAACAATATGTTTTCAATGGAACTTCATAAACATCAAGAAATTGTCGAAGAGATTGTTTTGAATGCAACAAAGGAACTTGCTATTGAACGTGGAGTAAGAGAAATTGCTCAGCAATGGGAATCAATACAATTTTCTGTAATCAAACACATCATCGGAGACAATTTAGATCGAGGGTTAGTTTTGAATCTTCAAGCTAAATGTTTGAATTTTTAAGTTTAATTTTATTTCAACAGATATATTCTTGGACCACTTGATGATATAATTCAGATATTGGAAGATCATTCAATGAATTTACAATCAATGAGTGCATCACCATTTATAGGACCATTTTTAAATACTGTACAAAAATGGGAAAAATGCTTAACACTAATATCTGAAATTGTTGATGAATGTATAGTGGTTCAAAGAAAATGGCTTTATCTAGAAGGAATCTTTATTGGTGGTGATATTAGAGAACAGTTGCCTGAAGAGGCCAAAAAATTTGACGAAATTGATAAGAACTTTAGAAAAGTAAGAATTTATAATCTAATTTTTTTAGATTTGCTTAAAGTAACGAACACATTTTTCGTATTTAATTTAGATCATGAATAATGTGTCTGAAAAGCTCATTGTCATTGATGTTTGTATGGAGCCAGAACGTCTTGTAGAAATTAAAGGACTTAATGAAGGCTTGGATCGTTGTCAAAAGTCTTTAAATGACTATCTTGATTCAAAACGTCGCATTTTTCCGCGTTTTTTCTTTATATCAACAGAAGAATTACTTTCAATTTTGGGCAGCAGTCGTAATGACTGTGTTCAAGAGCACATGATTAAAATGTTTGACAATATTAAGTCATTGACTTTAGCCAAATCAACATTGGGTGCTAACATTGCAACAGCAATGAACTCAAGCGAAGGAGAAATAATGCATTTCAAACATCAAGTTGTTACTGAAGGTTGTGTTGAAATTTGGATGAATGAGATTTTAAAGGAAATGCGAAACACTAATCGTCACATTACAAAAAAAGCAATTTTCGATTATGGAAAAAATAAAGATATGTCACGTCCTGAATGGATTATGATGTATCAAGGGATGGTTTGTCTCTCCGCAAATCAAGTTTGGTGGACATCTGAAGTAGAAGAAGTTTTTCAGCGAGTCGCGAAAGGAAATAAACGAGCTATGAAAGAATATCTAGAACTTCAAAATAAGCAAATTGACGATCTAGTGCGGAAAGTGCGTGAAAATCTTTCAAACAACGATCGAATTAAATTTAAAACGATAACAACAATCGATGTTCATTCTCGTGATATTATTGAAAATTTTGTTCGAGACAGTGTTCTTGATGCCTCAGAGTTTCAGTGGGAAAGTCAATTAAGGTAAGTTTTGATTTTTAGGAATAACCCGATATATTTAGACTCCCTATTTATTTTTACAAAATTACATATTATTGTAAACATTTATTCAAAGCTTTATAAAATTTCTGGTTCATTTAAAAAACCATTCAAACCTCGCATTAACAATGATAAAAACACCCACCTTAGAAATTCAAATATAGCACTGCTTTAATACAACTTGATTGAATGATAGGGGAGGATAAATTTTTTGCTATGACTTCATGTACTATGGGGTTAAAAGGCTGAAGGCTGAAAAAAATTAAATATAGAGAAAATATAAATTCCATTTTTACAGATTTTATTGGATGAAAGATGTTGACAACTTGTATGTAGTACAATGTACAGGTGAGTGTATTCAATTTTGTGTACAAAACTGTTATAGCTCAATTATTATATGTCGCAAACAACCATATATATAAATTGCTTTTTGTCGATTCTCACTCTGAATTGCCAATCAAGAGTTCATATTAATTCTTTAACATAAACTTTAAATCTCGATTTTTTTTAATGATGATATCAAGCTAAAGTTTTTGTTGAATCAATTTTATATATATTTTCAAATCAAGCTTAAAAATTCATTTCACATGTTTTTGACAAACTTAATATTACATTATTAATATTTCATACGTGAAATTTATTTTTGAATATCCCATGAACATATCTAATATCCGGTTTTTCTTTGCATTCGTTTACTAAATAAAATTCAGGAAAGTTTGAATATGGATACGAGTATATGGGATTAAACGGAAGATTAGTAATAACGCCTCTAACAGATCGAATTTATATGACAATCACACAAGCATTAATCATCAAAATGGGATGTGCTCCTATGGGTCCTGCAGGAAGCGGTAATTATTATATTCAATAATTTTAATCAAATTTAATTAAATTTTATATATTTTTTTGTACATCAGGCAAAACGGAAACAACAAAGGATTTAGCAAAAGCATTGGCACTGTTATGCATGGTAACCAATTGTGGTGAAGGTATGGATAATCGAGCTGTGGCAACAATATTGTCTGGATTATCACAATGCGGTGAGTGGATAATAAATTTTTGAAATAAATCTCAGTGCTTTAAGTAAAAATGTCACAACTTTTCATTAAAATTTTGTAAATTTATTCACTTTTAATTCTTCTTATTAATCGTGTGAAATTAAATTAAAGAAAGTTTTAATTTATTTTACAGAACAAAAACCTATAAACGTTTTTAACAAACGCTATTTTTAATTTAACGTTCTCCTTTATTTATATATTTGTTCTATCAGGTGCCTGGGGCTGTTTCGATGAATTCAATCGAATTGATTTATCAGTATTGAGTGTGATTTCGGCACAGTTGCAAACAATAAGGAGCGCTTTATTGGCCAACCAGGAAAAATTTATGGTAAAATAATTTTAAAAAAATGAAATCCGCGACATTCGTTTATCATGTTAAAAATGAAAACGTCTCATCCCACATTATTCACTTTGGTATGAGAATTTCAGTTGAACATACCTATATAAAAAAAAACTGAATGGAAAAGGACAAGATAGAAAAAATTTATTGATGTGACACTTCATTCTATTCAATATATATTTTTGTATTCTAAGAATGTGGTGATTCGAGATACGATTGGGGAATCTGTGTTTTTTATTTGTTGAACCTTTTCCACTTCTAGCGCCTATCGTTTTTACCGTTACTCAATATTTTTCTTCTCATTGCAAATACTTTCAATCCATGTCACATCTCGAGCATCTTTCGCTATTTTGGTACTTTATTGACATTGTTTCGTGTCAATAATCAATTTGATTTTTTTTCTCCGTTTTTCTCCCTCATTTCTCTTTGTCAGAGATTTTTTTTTTTTGAAGAAAACAGAAGAATATAAATTCAAGGGTCTTCGAAATTTTCAATAGTGCTTCATGAGATAAATCTTTATTATTTTATTAGAATAATTCCTTTGTATTTGTTGAAGCATTTTATTATTTATTTAATGTCCTCAATTCAGAGACATAAGGTTTTTGATTCATGTTTTTACAAGATTATTTTATACAATTTAGTCATTGAACTTAAATGAAGTCCTACTTTGTTATTAATTCATTTTTAAACAATCATAACTAATATTTTATGTTCATTTTCAGTTTGAAGGTCAACTCATAACTTTAGATTCTAAAGTTGGCATCTTTATCACAATGAATCCTGGATACGCTGGTAGAACTGAATTACCTGAATCAATTAAAGCACTTTTTCGTCCGGTTACATGCATTATGCCTGATCTTGAGTTAATCTGTCTAATTTCATTATTCTCTGATGGCTTTCTTACGGCAAAAGTACTTGCGAAGAAAATGACGGTTCTTTATAAATTAGCTCGGGAACAGTTATCAAAGCAATTTCACTATGATTTCGGATTGAGATCTCTTAATTCGGTTCTTCGTATGGCGGGTGTCGTAAAAAGAGAAATGCCAGACGCACCAGAAGCTGTTGTTCTCATGCGAGTTCTACGTGATATGAATTTTCCGAAATTCATTTTTGAAGATGTTCCATTATTTCTTGGGTTGATTAAAGATTTGTTTCCTGGTGTTGAATGCCCACGGATTGCCTATCCTGATTTAAATGAAACCGCTAAACGTGTTTTACACAACGATGGATATATTTTTAAAAATGAGCAGGTAAAAAAATTACGATACAAAAAATTAATTATTTAAGATCATTTGACAGTTATTGTTATTTATATACATGTGTATAGGTTGACAAGGTAATTCAGCTGTATGAAACAATGTTAACGAGGCATTGTACAATGATTGTTGGACCATCTGGTGGCAGTAAAAGTGTCATCTTAAATACATTGGTTAAATCTCAAACCGCAATGGGTTTGCCCACTAAATGTGTCATTTTAAATCCGAAGGTAACATAGATGTTTAAACAACTTTATGATCATACTGTGGATATGTGCAACTGATGTGTTTTAAAATAATTCTTATACGTACCTTATCAGCATTCTAAAATCGTGGAGTAATATACATACTTCCGAATCTTTTTGTTAAACAACTCCCACTTGACATATACCACTTCCTATTGCTTTGTTCACAACAAACTTTTTTACACTGCTTCTTTTATTTAAACAATGGAAAATTTGAATATTATTTATTTAAATTTAAAATTGTTTAAAGAGAAAAATAATCATTATTTTCTATTCGTATCCTAAAAGTCAAGACTCGAAAATTTAAAAAAAACCAATATATGATTAAGAACTAGAGAAAAATCTTTGCACATATTTTTAAAAACCAAGAGACACTTTAAAAAGATTTTTTTGTTTATTATTTTTGTTTACTCACTTATATCCAATAACCATAGGCATGTTCCGTAATCGAATTGTATGGTCATCTGGATGCGACAACAAGAGATTGGATTGATGGATTGTTCTCGAATATTTTTCGTGAAATGAATAAGGTAACAGCTGAAGAAAATGTACGACGGTATATTTGCTTTGACGGTGATGTTGACGCACTATGGATAGAAAACATGAATTCAGTAATGGATGATAACAAGCTGCTGACATTAGCCAATGGCGAAAGAATTCGCTTATCACCAGAATGTGCATTGCTTTTCGAAGTTGGTGATTTAGCTTTTGCATCTCCAGCTACAGTTTCACGCGCCGGCATGGTTTATGTCGATCCAAAAAATTTGGGTTATCAACCTTATTGGCAACGTTGGTTACTTTCACGTCCTGAACGTGAACGCGAAAAGATTAATGAACTTTATGAGCGCCTCATACCCGAAACATTAGCTTTTATTATTGAAGGAATCGATGGTTCTATGCAATTGGAGCCACTCGAAATGATTGTAATACAAACTGACTTGAATATGGTTGTACAGCTGTGCATAATGTTAGATTCTATGTTGCCGCACACGGAAAACGATAAAATCATATATGATGATGAAGTGCTTGAATGTGCATTCATACAGTGCATGTATTTTTCACTTGGAGCATCGTTGATGGACGATAGTCGAAAACGGTTCGATGCCTTCATGAAAAAATTGAATCCACTTATGGCTGTGCAGGATACTCACGAGAGGCCTGCAAATACTACACAATGTCCAACCGCAAAATCAACGTTATATGAATACTTCTTCGATATTGAACGCAAAGAATGGATAGCATGGGATTGGATTGTGCCAGAATACATTCACAATTCTCATTCACATTTTAACGATATTTTGGTACCAACTGTTGATACTGTGAGAACTGAATGGACACTTAATCAAATGAATAAGGTAGAAATCACATTTGAAAACCGTATATAGAAAAATAACTTAATTACATATGCAGGTAAAACAACCGATAATACTCATTGGAGAAACAGGAACTTCAAAAACAGCAATAATATCAAATTTCCTAAGAAACATTAACACGACTAATTATGTGAGTTTTTTTTTTATTATTATTTTAAATTATTTGAAAATTCACAAAAATGAACTTTTTTTTGTTCCTTTTCAATTTCTCATTCATCAACATAGATTGTCCTGAACATAAATTTTTCATCACGAACCACGTCAATGGATGTTCAAAGAACAATAGAAGCAGCTGTTGAAAAACGAACAAAAAATATATTTGGACCACCTGTTGGTAAAAAACTAATTGCATTTGTTGATGATATGAACATGCCAAAAGTTGACGATTATGGTACACAACAACCAATTGCATTATTGAAGCTACTTTTTGAACACGGTGGAATGTATGATCGAGGAAAGGACTTGCACTGGAAACTTTTTAAAGATATTTGTAGGTTTTTAAAATATTTTTTTTAAATGATGTATTTTTACGAATAATTTTCTTTTACACACAGCATTTATGGCTGCAATGGGAAAGAGTGGTGGTGGACGTAACGAAGTCGATTCTCGTTTTATATCGAAATTTGCCGTCATCAATTTACAATTTCCTCTCGATTCGACATTAAAGCATATTTACGGAAGCATATTGAATGGTCATTTAAAGTCATTTCCGGAAAAAGTTCAGACGGCATCTGATATTGTCGTACAAATGACTCTCGATTTATTCGAAATTGCTACTTTACAATTGCCTCCTACGCCATCAAAATTCCATTATATTTTCAATTTGAAAGATTTGTCTCGCGTTTATGCTGGAATATTGCTAACAAGTCCAATAAACTTTAAGGAACCACGACAGCTTGTCCGAGTTTGGAGAAATGAATTTACTCGTGTCTTTTGTGATCGCTTGATTGTTGATATTGATGTTCACATAATACGTGATCAAATGAATGAAATGATTAATAAGAATTTTCGAGAACCAGAATACCGGCCTAGAGTGTCAAACCTCTCTCACAGAGTTGAAAAAATTGAAAAAAAGGATTCAATTGCAGACATGCCTGCAAATCAGTTTATAATGCGTGACCCTTTATTATTCGGTAAGCATCTTAAAAAGATATTAATTAAATTAAAATTCACCATATATAATTATCAATTAAAGGTGATTTTAGACACGGAGTTGTCGACGAAGAAGAAAGAACGTATGAAGATTTGCTTGACTTCACAGCATGTATGCATCTTTTCACAGAGATCATGGACGAATATAATGATCGTCGTGGATCAATTGATCTTGTCCTCTTTGATGATTGTCTTGAACATTTAACTCGTGTTCATCGTGTTATGAGAATGCATAGGTAAATTCTTAAAAAATTGTCAAGATATCTAGCTGGTTTATGTAAGAAGGCATATTTATCAAAAAAATATTTTTTTTCTTAATTAAATAGAGGTCATTTATTGCTGGTGGGTGTTGGAGGGTCTGGAAAACATAGCATATCTCGGCTTGCTGCGTTTGCTGCTGGTTGTGAAGTGTTTGAGATTACGATTACACGTGGCTATAATGAAGAATCATTCAAATCTGACTTAAAGACCCTTTTCAATAATCTGATGACACAACCGACAGTTTTTCTGTTTGCATCAGCTCAAGTAAGTTTTTCTTTTATTTTTGGAGTGCTTTTACATAAAGCTTTTGGCTAAGTTTATCACAGCAGTTGTAGCTGAATAAAAGTAAAAATTTTGAATTTTTTTTTTAATATTTCAATTCAGATTGCAGAAGAAGGATTTTTGGAGTTTATAAATAATATTTTAACCGTTGGAATCGTGCCAGCATTATTTAATGACGAAGAGAAAGATACGATAATTGGTAATTGCCGGAATGCTGCAAAGGATGCTGGATATCCCATTTCAAAGTGAGCTGTCTTCCTTAATTTTCAATTTTCTTTTGCTTTCTTTCTATCTCCTTTTCGTCTGTTTCCTTCCTGTTTGCTTTCGTTAGCCAACAAAAATTTATTATCTTTTATTTATTTATTTTTTAAATTATTCTCGTGTTAAATGATAAAAAGTTAAATTCTTATTAATTTATATTTTTTGTATCTAAATTACATTTTAAGGGATGGTGTTTGGAAATATTATGTCGATAAATGCTCAGAAAATTTACATGTTGTGCTATGTATGTCGCCATCGGGCGATACATTACGGAACCATTGTCGCAGTTTTCCAGGTCTTGTTGGCAATACCACGATAAATTGGATGTTGCCTTGGCCAAAGCAAGCGCTAAGATCTGTCGCTCGTGGTTATATTTCAGAAAATCGTAAAATACCTGATAGCTATAAGGATGAAATTAATGATCACGTTGTGCACGTACATGAATCATTGACATATTACACACAGGAATTTATCACCATCTTACGTCGTCGCAATTATATAACACCAAAACACTATCTCGATTATGTTACCACCTACATCCGTCTGCTAGATGATAAGAGTTCATTTATCATGAAGCAAATTGTTCGCTATACCGATGGAATACGTAAGATTGACGATGCATCAGCACAAATAGACTTGTTGCGAGCGGAAGTTGAGAAAACGAAAATGGAAGCAGTAAAGGCAGCTCGTAATTGTGATGATGTTATGACTGATATTGAGAATTGTAAGGATTATAATTGCCATACATTCATAATTGCGACAATTTTATATTTTTCCTTCTATTTTTTTCTACACTTTTTAAACGTAACAGCAACGGAAAAAGTTATGAAAAAGAAAAAGGAAGCAACAGAAAAGTCAACTGAAGTGGAACAAAATCGCAAACAAATTACTATAGAGCAAGAGGAAGCTGAAGAATCATTGCGCCAAGCGCTGCCTGATTTAGAAAATGCTCGTGAAGCCTTAGATACACTTTCTAAAAAGGATATTACGGAAGTTAGGAGTTTTGCGAATCCACCAGAGCCCGTTCAAATTATATGCGAGTGCGTTGCCATATTAAAAGGTCTCAAAGATATATCATGGAAAACGGCAAAAGGCATGCTAGCGGATGTTAATTTTTTGAAAGGCTTACAGGTATAGAAAACTAATTATAAAGGGATAAAATAATTGAAGCCTTCATATTTTATGAATTATTGTAACTTTTCTTTGCATATTTTCAGGAAATGAATTGCGATTTAATTACAATGAAACAAGTAACAAGCTGTCGTGCACATATGAAGGTAAAATAATTTTAATTAATTAACACTCGTAATTTTATTTTTACTTCTTTTAAAATCTATAAATTTAATATTAAATATTATGCAGAAAACAGCAAAATTAGATGAAATGAAAGCAATATCAAAAGCTGGTTACGGACTTTTGAAGTTTGTAAAAGCAGTTTTACGTTATTATGATACTTACCGTGAAGTAAAGCCCAAGAAGCTGCGTGTTGAGGAGCTACAAAATGACTTGGAACAGAAAACAAAAGTCCTCGAATATTTGAAACTCGAAGTAGAGACACTTGAAAAGGAATTGGATGAATTAAATAAAAAGTATCAAGATTCTCTCTTACTCAGACAAAAATATCGCGACGAACTTGATATTTCTGAGAAGAGACTAAATGCTGCAGACAGATTGGTAACTGGATTGTATTCAGAGAAAAATCGTTGGCAAAACAACTTACAACAACTTGCGATCGATAAGGAAAATATGATTGGAACATGTTTGTTATCAGCAGCTTTTTTGGCGTATGCTGGAGCTTTTTCATATGATTTTCGTAAAACTATGATATATGATGATTGGCTGAATGATATTTTAAGACGAGATATTCCAGTGACAATTCCTTATTGCATTGATCAAGATTTATCAGATGATGTTGAAATAAGTGCATGGTCTTCAGAAGGACTTCCATTTGATAATCTCTCAATTCAGAATGGTATTTTGACAACACGTGGGTCACGATTTCCATTTTGTATTGATCCTCAACAGCAAGCATTAGGATGGATTAAACGAAAAGAAGCTCATAATAATTTAAAGACTTTGACCTTTAATGATGCAGATTTTCTTCGGCACTTAGAAATAGCAATAAAATATGGAAATCCTGTGTTATTTCAGGATGTTGAGGATTACATTGATCCAGTTATCGGAAATTTGCTCGAAAAGAATTTTCGCTTGCAAGGAAAACAAGCATATGTCTTGCTTGGTGATAAAGAGATTGATGTTGATGTAAATTTCCGTCTTTATCTTACCACAAAACTTTCGAATCCTGTATTAGATCCGTCGATTTATGCAAAAGCAGTAGTGATAAATTATGCAATCACAATTGATGGATTAGAGAATCAATTGCTCGCGGAAGTTGTAAAAGTTGAACGTTCTGAACTGGAAGAACAGCGAGAAATGTTGATTGAGGAGACTAGCATAAACAAAAGTTTATTATCAACACACGAGGATTCACTATTGCGAGAACTTGCAAACTCAAGTGGAAATATGTTGGATAATGGGGAACTTATTCAAACACTAGAAAATGCAAAAACTAAAGCAATGGAAGTAACAACAAAATTGAATTTAGCAATTGAAACTTCAAGATATATTGACGAAGCTAGAAATGATTATAGACCAATCGCATCTCGAGGTGCACATTTGTTTTTCGTTCTTTCCAACATGTCTATTGTAAACACAATGTATCAATATTCATTATCAGCTTATTTGACCGTCTTTGTTCTATCGCTGAAGAATGCTGATCCTGATATTATTCTAAGCAAGCGCTTAACAAATATTATTGATATGCTTACCAAAAATATTTATTCATACGGATGCTCTGGAATATTTGAAAAACACAAGTTACTTTTCTCATTTCAAATTGCTACAAAACTCCAGCAAAGTGAAGGAAAGCTATCACAAAAAGAACTTGACTTCTTCATAAAAGGAACAACGTCAATGGAGAAATCTGATCAAGCATGCCCAGCAAAATGGCTACCATCAAAAGGATGGGAAGATTTGATATATTTATCGAGTGAATTTTCTGAAACCTTTCAAGAGATTGCTCATCATTTTCGAACTCATTTATTAGAGTGGCGTGATTGGTATGATTTGGAAATGCCAGAAAATGAAGACTGTCCAGGCAATTTCACATCACATATGACCTCATTTCAACGAATGATGCTTCTTCGTTGTTTTCGAGTTGATCGAATTTTTTGTGCCATTAATTCATACGTAATCGAAATTATGGGAGAACAATTTGTAACACCGCCAGTGATTAATTTTAAAGCAATTTTTGAACAAACTACATCAAGCACTCCTGTTGTCTTTATGCTATCACCAGGATCTGATCCGACAGATGATCTTATGAAATTAGCTGGATATCAAAATATGCTATCGGATAGATTTAAATATATTTCTCTCGGACAAGGTCAAGAATCAGCAGCGCTGAAACTTTTTAAAAATGCTGTACAAAAAGGAGAATGGTTACTGCTGCAAAATGGACATTTACTAATATCGTTCATGAGAAGACTTGAAAAAATTATTGAAAATATTGATTCGTTGCATAAAGATTTTCGTTTGTGGATAACAACAGATCCAACGCCAACTTTTCCCATTGGAATCTTACAGAAATCATTAAAAGTTGTTACTGAACCTCCAAATGGATTGAAGCTAAATTTACGTTCAACGTTCTTTAAAATACCATCAGAACAATTAAATGCATGTAAGCATGTAGCATTCAAACCAATCGTGTATGTTCTTGCATTTTTCCATGCAGTCATATTAGAACGTCGTAAATATGATAAATTGGGCTTTAACATTTCCTACGATTTTAATGAATCAGACTTTAATGTTTGCGTTGAAATTCTGAGTACATATCTTTCAAGAAACGATGGAGCAATACCTTGGAATAGTTTAAAGTATCTCATTGGCGAGGTAAATATCATGAAATATCCATAAATTTCTGTTGTCACTATCAATTTATCTAGCATGCATTCGCTTTAGCATTTGCTTCATTCTATTGTTTTCTCTACTTACCTCTTTTTATACAAACATATATTGAGAAGAAATCTTTCTTCATTACATTGTTGGTGGATAGCTTTACATTTGATTTATGGAATATATTTTTTTACTATCAGACTATAACATTGTCATACATTTTTCTCTTTAGTTTTCTTCATGCACGTATTAACGATGATAAAATACTATGTGAAAATTTACCAACAAATGATTTGTAGATCCGTGACTTTCTTTTCTTTTTCATTTCATTTCTTACGAATTAAAACATTTATTCAAAATTTGAGAATTTTAATTTCTGTCATTTAAATCATAACTTATATTTACTTTTTTCCTAAATGGTTTTTTTTTTCAATTTATATGAGCTGTATGCCAAAGATTCAAAAATTAAAAATTTTAATATAGAATTGATTTCAAAAATGCTTCTCTTTTCTCTTTAGGTCATGTATGGTGGACGTATAATTGATGATTTTGATAGACGAATTGTACGTGTTTACATGGATGAATACATGGGCGATTTTCTATTTGACACATTTCAGCCCTTTCATTTTTATCATGACGATAATGTTGACTATAAAATTCCTGTAAATGCAGAGTCACAAGAGGACTTTATTGGTAAGTTACGATAAAAAAATTTAAATCAAATTTTCGATTCATTTTTCTTCAAATATCGACATCAACATATTGTTCACATCTATCCGTTTATTATTTCCTCTGAATTTTTATGCATGTTATTTTGTGTCATGTTGATAACATTGATGTTGATGATGATGACCTTATACTATTTATTTCTACATATTGTTGATGATGATGATGACGATGTTATAAATAAATGTTTTTCATGCGAACAGCATCGACTGATTTTCTACCACTTGCAAATACACCGGAAGTATTTGGTTTGCATCCGAATGCCGAAATTAACTATTATAGTCAAACAGCACGGGAAATATGGAGCCATTTAATCGAATTGCAACCACAAACTGGTAAGTGTTCATGAATTGGGAAATTTTTCGCTCATATGACATATCGTTTATAATGTGAAAATAGGTTCCAAAGTTTTACTTTTTATAATTTTTAAAACTGTCTCAATACATAAAATTCTAAAACAATGCGCAGCTTTGGACAATATAAAGGGAAAAAAAACTATAAAATATTTTTTTTTTCTATTTATGGAAAAGTCGAAAAATGGATTGATTTCGGTAGGTTGATGAAAAACTCATTTATTTTTTACTGCACTAGCTGATAACATACACAGTGGAATTTATTCATTTGCACCATTTTTGTACTCACATAGCATATTTCCAATAAAAAGAACCTACAGTTGCATGAATGTAAATTTGCTTTTTTGGAAAATGTATCTAGAGAGAAAAAAAACTATTTTATCTCATGCTCTCTTAACCACCAACCAATAATTTTGATTATGATGACATGAAGAGTGAATATTTTGGTATTTTAATCGAAAAATAGTTATTTTAATTTTTGTGGATTGATTGAATGGACGTGCACTGATGTGCAAATGCATTCAACATACTTACTAAAAAATTTCTATGTACACCATCGATTGCACATATACTAGGAATAATTAAAACTGTAGCATTTTTTGTAGAAAACAAAATCTCTTTTCATTTTTGGACACAAAAATTGTTGTTTGAAAGCTTTTCCCAAATTGCGTTTTAATCTAATTTTTTCTTTCTTTCGGTATTTTTCTATGCGAATAGGACAAACAACTGGCGGCACAACGCGTGATCAAATGATTGATTATATTGCAGAGGATATTTTGAAAAAGATTCCACAAACATTCGAAATTTGGCGTATTAAAAAATCCTTTGCTATGAATATTACACCAACACTGATTGTTCTTTTACAAGAATTAGAGAGATTTAACAAACTCGTCAAGCGAATGAGCTACACTTTGAGTTTGTTGCGAAAAGCACTTGCTGGTGATATAGGAATGGATTCAACATTAGATAATCTTTCCGTTTCTTTATTTAACAATCAAATACCAGATGATTGGAGAAAACTAGCACCAGATACTTGTAAAACATTAGCTGGCTGGATTGATCATTTGATTCGTCGTGCTAGTCAATATAGATATTGGTCATCATCAGGAGAACCACTTGTTATGTGGATTTCTGGTCTTCATGTTCCTGAGAGTTTTCTAACAGCATTGGTTCAAATTGCCTGTCGCAAAAATAATTGGCCATTAGATCGCTCAACGCTATTTACCATTGTAACTGATTTTACGGATCCCGATGATGTTGAAGAGCGACCAGAATCGGTATGTAAAAAAAATCATTGCTATATAAACACTTATCGTTCAGTTGAAATCTTAATCAAAGTATTTAAATTGAATACTGTATTGTGAAAAGATTTAAATTTTTTTATTTTATTTTTGTCAAAACTTCTAGACTTAATTTTTATATATTTGAAAAAATGTATTATAGTGATGCATATGAATTTCTGGAAATTGCTATTTAAGATTATTAATAGATTTTATAGTAAGAAATTTCGAAATTAAGGAATGTAAATCGTGTATTAAAATAACTCAAAGGATTTTCTTTTCAATTTTTATTTCGTGATTTTCCAATAAATTATTTTTCAATTTAATAAATCCGATTTATATATTTTTCATACTACACATTTATGGATGCAAAAATTGACTGAATCATCGAAAATTTGGAATAAACATTACTGCTTTACTGACTTGCTATAAAAAAATATTTCATGATGATGATGATAGGGCTGTTATATACATGGTCTGTATCTTGAGGGTGCTCGCATAAAGAATCAATGCTTGGAGAGATCATTACCGAAAGTGCTTGTTGAGCCACTGCCAATATTGTCCATTCAACCGATTGAAGCACATCGTCTCAAATTACAAGTGAGTATGATGATAATATTGTATATGATAACAGCTCAATATACTGTACGTATGAAAATATATGCAAGTGATTGTAGAAATTGTTTTAAAGATTTGGAACATTTTTTGCAAAATTATAGTTGTTTATGCATAATTTAAACATACAAGATTAAGAAAAGCAAAAATTTAAAAATGAAAAATCTTTATATCTTATTTCCCTAAAGTGTGACTCATAAAAATCAATAAATGATTGAGAAATCTGTAAATACAATAAAATCCCAAACAAAACAGATTGTCCCTCTTGAGACCTATCATATGAATATATATGTATATACATATATATATAAAAATAGATAGACTTACTGGAAATTCCCTCACATGATATGAGAATTTTTACTTGCTTGCCTTTCTTCCCGAATATCACAATATATCAACAACAACAGCAATAAATGAGTGAATGAAATAAAATGAACGAGCATTTATCTCGTCTTCGAATACTGTAAAGAACATGAGAAAATGTTGGGCTTACTTTTTCCATACTGATTCAAACTGATAGTAAGAGGAGGGTTTCAAAAGGGATATTGATGGGAGAGATGTATTGAAAAATATTTTGTATCAATGTTGAAAGTCTTTCTGTACTCTTTTATCTATATCACTGTGAATTACTACATGCTATATATCTCAATAGATGATTCTCATACAGAAAAACACACTCAAATGAAGCTTTTGTTTCTATCACTTTAACCTCGTTTTTTGCTACGGCTGCTCTTTCATGTCAATGTCTCTTTCCTTATTTCTCCTTTCTTTTTGTATTTATTCAACCATTTACCATCTGATTCCAATCACATACAAAAATATTTTTTATCTTACATCCTTTGACTATAACTATACATGAATGTATATACATATACAGATTCAGGACGTACCACCACCATTCCTCTTTTTCTTTCTCTTTATGCTTTTATGTTCCACTAGTTCCTTCTTATTCTTCTATAACAGGATTTATTTTTGTTTACGTTATCAGCAAAAGAATAGCAAAGAAAGGGGAAAAGGAAGCTGAATTAAACAGAGAACGATGTATAAAAATACATAGCTTTAAAAAAATGACATAAGTACATGCTTATTTGTCATAATGATTAAATTTTCCTTTGAAGAAGCATAAAAAAATATTCAATGGACGTTTCTGCTGTTAAATCTTTGAATAAATCACCTTCAAATTTAGAAAGCATGCTAAAACAATTAACATAATTGTATTATTTTTTTTTTTCAAAACTTTAATGTTTTCGTTATTTATGCTAATATTTATAATATTTCTTTAATTTAATATACAGAATACATTTCGTACACCGGTCTATACAACTTCAAAGCGTCGCAATGCAATGGGAATTGGATTAATATTTGAAGCGGATTTACCAACTACCGTACATCCTAACCGTTGGGTTCTGCAAGGCGTCTGTCTTACATTAAATGATGACTGAAAATTTCTTGTGATTAAATAAAAATTAAAATTGAATAAATTTATTTTTGGATTCTTTCTTTAAAAAAAATTTAAATAAAGAACTTTACAAAAATTCTTCATAACTTTATAAAACCTCCTTGAGTAATGTAATGTGTTCTCTTGCTTTGTTTTTATTCTTCTCTTACAGAGAGAACTCTACAAAAAATGAGAGAAAAATGAAAATTCTCCAAACAGTGAAAATACTGGAAAGCTTAAAGAAAATAAAACAAAAAATCAATAAAACATGGCGAAGTGAAAAGTTGTTAAAAAAATTTTGCTTTTTATTTGTGATTAATTTAATGGTGTTTAGTGATAACGTATACACATTTTGAAGACATTGAGTCAATAAGTGATGGAAGATTCAGGTTTTGATAGTGGAGATCGAGTTGCAAATTTTATGGTAAGCAAAATAACATTTTATTGATATTTTATCCCTTAAACCATATTGTAATTTGGTTGTTTTACAGCAAAACTACAACACTCATGTTAATAACAACAGTAATTTAGAATGCGAAAGCTCATCTTCAAATGAGGATATATTAAATATTAATCGTATGCCAAAAGATAATATTGATGATGTGGCATTCAAGAATCCATCATTAATTAACAGCAACACCAATGTCATAACAACATCATCTTCACAAGTGCTAATCGATCATCAGAAAACTCATCATCACCTAAATGAGCACAACAAGAAGCTGTCAAATATTAATACATGTAAAAGCCTCCATAGAAAATTAGAAGAAAAAGTGAATCGAGCTAAGAAAAATTTCCTGCATAATGAGAAATTCAATCAATTGGAAAATGATATTGTGAGTATATGAAAAAAGCATATTTACTTTGTTTGGTAATCTTCTCATTTCCATCTGACAAAGGTGAATTCTTAATATATTATTCAGCAAGACGAAAATTGATATTGCAATCAAAATTTATACAATAAGGAAAGTGAGAACATTTATTCTCGTAATTTCATTACCATAATGGTAATGCTCCTATCGACAATTTCGTCTTGCTGACTATTTTTTTTATTTGTCACTCCATTTTTATTTCAAACATGTGAATTTTATGATGATGTAACATGTTGATATGTTGCTATATGTATGTTGATTTCAATGCAAAATTTGTTTACAAATTATTTAATTAAAATTTCATTTCTTGGGCAATATACTAATCCGCAAATTATATATATTAAATTTGGTTGCTTATAAACAGGAAGTGAAAAAATCGTTACCAAATTTGATTTCGATTGAAAGACTGCCATTTCCACGTAATAACAGTGAAAGTCAAAAACCTCTTGTTGAGTATAAAAGTGATAATAGGTGAGTAGTGAAGAAATTTTGTGGAGTTGAATTCTAGTTGAATATAAAAAGTAGCAATTTAATGAAAATGTGACATTTTATTTTTGTTACTTTTACATAAATATAGTGATGACGATGAAATTACAACCTTCTTCCCAATACATAAAAAGCCTAAAAAGTCACGTTCACGTAAGCAACAAAAGAACAAAGATGTTGACACATTTAGCATACAGGAAATGACCATTATTGAATCAGATTCGGATGGAAACTATGGCGATAAATCGTCTGACGATGACGATTGTGATTCTCAATTGAATTTAGAACTTCCATCAAGAACCAATGAAAGTATTTTATTAAAGCTTCGTCAAATGTTTTGTTGTACACAATCAGCACAAAACTTGTTTTAGAAAAAAAGATTGAATGAGTTTTACTGAATTTTAGATTAAATATTGTGAGAGTTGTATGTTTATAGATGACTATGTGCTACCCAAAGCAAATTAAAGTGAATAAACTTTTGAAAATAAGTGATAAATTTAAAGAAAAAATTATTCCAGTTTTATTTCTAGTTTTTAAAATTAGGCTTCAGCAATGATATAAATGAATAGTTATCCCTACATTTAGAATTTTCTTTCAAAATTCAAGTTTATCAGATTTTATAAATTTATGAAAACATGTATGTATTGTAATTTTATGGTAAAAGAAATGTGTCAACAGAACTGAAAATGAAATCGGAAAAAATTGTCAAAAATCAATAAATGTCGAATTTCAATTAATTGCCGATGAATAAAGTTGTTTCATGAATTTACAAGCTGAAAATAAAAAATTTAATATTTTCCATTTATCTCAAATATTGACAATGAGTAAAATTTTTATGTTAATTGAAGAGAGAGAAGAGTGAAAAGCAAATGTGAGAACAAAGGAAAATGGATTGAAAAAACCTAAATTACAACTCACTTAAAACAATTTAAAACATTTTTACTCTAAATCATTAAAAAAAATACACAAAGAAAAAACCTTTGTTAAAATGAGAAGCTCGTTAATAGCTGCTACCTATTATCAAGACTTTTTTTTTCAAGAATTTTCACACTTTTTTTCTCAAAGAAGTCACTAGCTTATAAATCGCGACAATATATCAATAGTAACGGAGCTAATAAAACAAACCCGAGCTCTCTACGATGTCTGGTTAACGAACATTCAGGAACAGACAAAGTTCATTATTAAGCTCCTTTTTAAAAAAAGCTTTAAATACAAAACAAATTTCAAATGTGATCAAAATCATGAAAAATATAACCAAAGTCATCTTGAATGTCTATTGAAAGATCACTTAAAATTTAACATTTTCACTGTCGGACATATCTATAATTTTTATATTATTGTATTTTTATTAATATTATCTCGACTGTAGATGATTAATGTGATTTAACCATGTTCTTTATTTTCAGTAAGCCTCATTCAATTATTATCATTATCATCATTATTTAAGCTCTTATTTATTTTATGGATGTAATATCTGAATAAAAAAGGAATAAAGTACATCCATAGACAATACGTCATTTCAGGTTCAGAGAGAGAAAAAAAGGAAAAAAGAAGAAATAAAAATTATTTATGAAATTTTATCTCTTCTCCATTTTATCCACATAAATTTACGTTTTATTTACGCTCCAATTTACTAGCCTCAATCTATGGAGATTTACTGCTATTGGTATTGTTATTTATCATGCACATGGGATTGTGATTCTTATTATATTCACACCGTATTCACATGTGAATATTTTGTTTTTGCTTAGATTGAAAGAGAAAATTTTCGAATTTTGTCAGGAAATGGAGCAAGATTGCTGAAAACGATCTGATATGAAGAGTTTGTGTCTAAAGTTTTATATCTTCTGCAAAAAAAAAAAACAGAATTCAAATTGGTTGAGGCACAAGGTTGTGGAACTGAAGAATTACATTTTGATAATTTTTGATCATTTTGATCATTTTTTTGATAATTTTTGATAATTTTTTGATCATTTCATCAGTACCACACCCTTGTTGAGGCATTGCTGAGAAATCTGCAATATAAACTTTCTATAATTTTAACAAACAAGCAAGTTAACCAGCAAAAATGTTCAATCAATAACAAGACATCGTAAACACTTCTAAGTTTTTGCATTGTGCTACCTATGGAAGAACTCAGTTCTTGTGGTTTTGAGCAAGAGAGTGCTTCAAAAAAGCAAAAAAAAAACTCTTAAAATATTTGAGTATAAAGCAATATTGTAAGGTATGTTGAAGTCTGATCTATTTAGGAGTGAGTCTTCTATTTAAACAATGCATTTAATTTCTCATTCAAACAAAAAATCAATTGTCAAAGCTTTCAATGGTAAGGTGTGAATATATCTGCATTGAGTTTCTGCCCGATAAACTAGTTTGATACTTTTTTGGGTTCATATTAAAATAAAACCAAGATATATAGATGTGCTCATACAAAAATATCGCAGTTTTTAAACGTCAAAAATTTGAATTTTCTAAAAACACTAACATGCACTAACACTATAAAAGAAAATTTTCAATTTTTGTTTTGCAAAATTTTCAACTTTCTGTTAAGTTTTGTTGATACAGGAGTATTGCAAATGCTTTGCTATAATTTAAAGTAACTGACTTAAGTCAAATGTTGTTGCATCTGTCGATATTTAAATGAAAACTTGAAAATAGAAAATTTTAAAAATTTTTGTTTGTATAAGTACACAAAAATAGTATGGTCGAGTATGGTCAAGTATACTCTGTATGAGCCCATCTATATATCTTGAATAAAACGAAAGAAAACAAGCTTCCATCATGTTTTTCATTATTTAATTTATTGTTTTTTTTTCTGTATTGCCACACTTTCGATTTAAATTACATCTTTAAAAATAAGTTCCTTTTTTAATTTTAAGGTAACAAAAAGTTCAATTTTAAGTAGTTTTTATTTTGAAAATTATTAATTTAAAAATAGATTTATGGTCTATTGTTGATTTGGCTGTATGGCATTTTAGTGTGGAAAGTTTAATCATTTGAAATGAAACCAACTTTATGCATATGCGATTTTGGGAACGTAAAAAGCTTTGAATTGTTAAGCTTTAATCCTCTTAAATTCCATAACATAAAAATTTAAGTTTACAAAAATAAATTCTACGTTTTTTAAGTTTCATTAAGTTTTACATTTAGAGAACTGAATATTTTTTTAATGTTTCAAAAATGGTACTTATTCTGTTTCATATGAATATCTCTGAATAAGAAAACTGTGATTTTTAAAATTTTAATTTAACCTTATGAAATAGATATGCACATGGCAAATGTTGTCAATATTTTCATTCGATTGATCAGAATTTCGTTACATTTCGATATTGTTGTTTCTACATCTAAAAAACATTCTACGCTATAACTTATTAAATTAACAACTATTACATGAGAATTCACTTTAACAATAATTATGCATAGAGATTCTTAGGAAAAATGGCACGTAATACATTAGCATTAAGAATTTAAATGCAATCTTTGAAATCAAAATGTATATTTTAATAATACAAAGCTCTAGAACAAGGCACATTAGTATATCTGAATATAACGATGTAGATTGAATCCAATCGTATTGAAAAACTTCGAAAATGTTACAAAAATAATTAAAGGCTCTTAACTAAAGTTGCGATTCTTTTTTTTATTTTGATAATTTTTGGTAAATTCCCAAAATGTATCAAAAAGATACAATATTTTAAGAAAGCTCTTAGCAAGTGAATTTACTATACAATAGCACTACTTCATTTTTTATATACATTTTAAATTGAAAGAAAATTGGTAAAATTAAAATGAAATTTTAGTCTATCAATTAAAATTCTAAATTAATATTTTTCAGAGGTATGAACACATTTTTGTTCTATTTTGAATAACAGAAAACTAAAGGGTTTATGAAGGGGAGTGATCAAAGACATGACTACACCTCTGCGTCTATGATTAATTTAATGTAAGTTAGAAATTATTTAAAAAAAAAACATTTAAGCTGTAACGGATGATAAATTCGAAATACTTATGAACAATTACTTATTATATCTCATTAGGATGGCTCTTTAATTGTCCAGCCAGTGTACACGATCTACAGCAAAATTTGGCATAATATTTGTGATTACAGTAATTTCCTTTTACAATCAATGCACAATTGGCAAAGTTTTTGTTATCTGTACAATCGGATGGTATATGGAAACCTGTGGACAATTACATTTGTTTTATATCAATTTTTAGACAGTATAAAATAATTTTTCTTACCTTCCACAGTTATTACTTCAGCTGCAAAAGCTTGGCTATATTCATTTCTTGCTACACATCTATAATTTCCTGAATCAAATGGTTGAGCATCAACTACAACTAATCTTTGTGAATCTGTTAACAAAGAAACAAATTTAATTATTTAAAATCAAATGCTTTAAGTTGAAAGTGTACCTAGGATTCGGATATGATCAGAAACTTCAACAGCTCGATTGTCTTTATACCATAAAACTTCTGGTGTTGGGTAGCCACTTGCGTTACAATATATAGATATTTCTGAACCCACACTAAATACTTTTCCTCTTGGAAGTGACAGACTAACTGATACTGGAACTAATTTTGTAAAAAAAAGGTTTAAATTTATCTGACAATTCATATTATAAAGTAAGATATGTTAATTATTATTAATTTTAAATCCAACATGCAAGTTAACGAATAAAGTTATGCAACATGCCATACACGAACACTCACCAAAGTAAATATCTTGTGGTGGACGAGTTTGAGGTAGGCGAGTGGGAGGAGGAAGAGGACGACGTGTTGTAGACATTGGAGTAGTAGAAGGAGAAGGAGGTGGTTTAAAGGTTGGTGGAGATGTTGGTTGTGGATCAGTAATAACATATTGAATATATTTGTAATCCTCTTCAGTGCGTGGTTGAAACTTTCCACGTGCTCGTAATACTACAGAAATTGTTACAGGTCTCCCAATTGCATTATATGCTTGACAAGCATAAGTACCTAAATCATATAAATCTACTCTACTAAATACTAGTGAATAGTCACGTGTGATTTCAAAGCGATCGTCCTTTAATGGAAGGATTTTATCGCCACGCCACCATGTAACAAATGGTTTTGGATAGCCCCCAGCTGAACAACGTAATACTGCTGGTTGCGATAGTTGAGCAACAACAGTTGAATTTGGTTCACCTATAATATAGGCACTACCCTCAGCCGGTTCTAATGTATTAATGTTATCAACACCAAAAAAATATGGAAAAATGTTAATAAATAAAATATCACAAAAAAACTTCTATTGATTAATAAAAAAAAAGTCTTGTTAAAAACTAAAGAAAAAATTAAACAATCAAAATCATCACCAATTAATTTTAATAAAATGTTATCAGAAATCATTGCCTTAAAACTTTTTTAAAATTGTAATAAAAAATTGCATTCGTAACTACAAAAAATAAGAAAAATTTAATCTTACCGTCAACAGTCAATGTAATTTCTCGTTCCACAGTGTTGCCAATTCCATTATATGCGACGCAGACATACGTTCCAGCATCAGTTCTATGTAATTGAACAATTTGAAGATCTCCGTTGGATGTTAGAACAAATCGTCCCTGATTAGTTTTAAGCTAATTTGAAGATAATTAGGCAATTATAATTACGGTGATATTATTAGAATAATTAATTACACTCACTTCAATACCGCCACGTTTCCAAGTGATTGAAGGTGGTGGAAAACCTGTTGCAAAGCAACGAAGTGTAGCAACGCCTCCTTCTCTCGCAACTGGACGTAAATCTTCTTCAGGTACTTGTTCAAGCTCTGAAGGTCTTGACTGTGAGTGTTCGGGATAATATGGAGGCGCAGCAGTAGCTTTTTCTTCCTCTGGTGAAGTACAAATTCTTGAACATCCTGATGTGCAGCACTTATAGTCTCTTCGACAATCAGCATCATCTTCACATTCATTTTCACATGTGTCTGATTCATTTTGTTCATTATCAGCTGGACAATGTCCGGGTTTGACATATTCTCTACAAGTGGGTACAAATATTGTCGCTCCAAACTCATCTGAAGATACATCTACAGAGCATTTACTTCCTTCGGGACATTCATAATCAGAGCATGGATTTTCACAATCACATCGCTCACATCCGCTATTTGAATCATATGATTTCAAAATACCATAAGTACATCGTAATGAATCACAATGTCTAATGAAAAGACTGCAATTAGGCCTTGAATCAGTTGGTGCTGGCGCTTCAGTTTGTTGAGGTTCTTGTGCAATATCTATTAATAAGGTTTAAAAACAAAGTTCATTTAGAATTTCTTGAATAAAAAATAAGTTTTTAAGCAATTTAAGTAAGGTAAAATTGGTGGAGCAAAAAATTCATTGTGCAAAAAAAAATCATGCATATGCTCAGTGCAATAGTTTAGAATAAATTTTCTTTGACTTACGATGTTGACAGTATTGTATGCAACTTTCGTCATTTTCAAAATTATTAAGGTTACCAGCACAACCTGAGTATGCAAAAGCTACACATGAGCCTCTGCTACTATCGAAGTAATATCGTTTCATTTGATCAACACTACTGTCATCACATGAGCCTGCTTCAACAGGCAACATACAAATATCCGTTTCTAAATTCATGCAAAAAGTTATCTAATTATTTTATGCTATTGAATTTTCATATTTTCAAGTTCTAAATGCACTATTTACTCCCAAAAATAATTTTCTTTTGTCAAATTTCATCAATACCTAATATAAAAATTGTCATTTTCATTTACCTTCATCTGGTTTCGTAATGCAACTAGACTCGCATTCAACTCTTGTTTCGAAGCGATTGCCATTTCCACCACATCCACCATAATAGAAAGCTTTGCATGATTGTGTTTCACTATCATATGAATAATTAATAACATATTCATCACAAGAACCAGGATCCTCTGGTTCACTACAGACATTTGTGACTCGTACATCCTTTAAAAATTAAAAAAAAAACCAATTTTAGATATAAAATTGACTTTAAAAAATTTCTCATTAATTACAATTTCAGGAGCTGTAGTAGTTTTTTGTGTTGGTTCTGGTGTTTCTTGAGCGTGTCTATGTCGGCAGGCATTCATACAAGAATATTCATCGATAAAATTATTATTGTTACCCTCACAACCCGTATACTGGAATTGACGACAGTTTTGTGTGTAACTATCGAAATGCCATCGAGTGACATTTTCTTCACATCTTCCTTCTAATGGATACAAATCACATAAGTCAACTACATCATGACATAATTCTTCACATTCCTCAAGAGTTTCGAAATTATTTTCATTTCCATCGCAACCAGTGTAAGGGAATTGTGTACAAATTCCATAAGATCTATCATAATAGAAACGTCTATGACGCTCTCCACATCTTCCAGATTCATAAGGAAGTAGGCAGTGTTCTCGTTGTTTTTCAGAAGATGGTGTCTTTGTAGGCGGCTCGATATGTGTTGTAGCTTCAGTTCTCGGTACTGTCGGTTCAGTTCTAGGTGGTTCTTGACCATCGGTCTTTCTACATCTTTGTTCACAGTCTGCTTCGGAAGTGAAACGATTTTCATTTCCACCACATCCACCATAGTAGAATTGTCGACATCGTTTAATTTTCGTATCAAAGTACCATAATGCAACGTAATTTTGACAATTTCCAATATCAGCAGGTAACTGACATTGATCTTTAACTATACAAAAAATTAAGATTTATAAAAAAAATGTTTTCAAATCCAAACCAACATTGAGACGTAAGTGTAATTATCAATAAATCTAATTCTTACCAACAACCGATGGACAATGTTCTGCACATTCATGTTCTGATTCAAAGTTATTTTCATTTCCACCACACCCATAATAAAATGGCATGCATTTGTTATCACTCTGTGAGAAATACCAGCGAGCATTTTTCTCGTTGCAATCATTACCAGTATCATTTGGCAAATTACAAACCTCTGTTTTACATTATTTTTTTTTTGAATATATTTGGATGTGTATGACGCATATATTTGGGAGTTTTTTTTTCAAACAATTTGTTAGAACAAATATAAAAACCATTTAAGAAAGAAAAATAAAAAATAAAAATCAATGTTAGTAATAAAATAATGGTAATGATATACATTAATTTTCTAAGAGTTATGATGATAGGATGGTAGTCGATCCCCTTAATGCAACGTGTTATTCATTAAATATAAATTTTAAAAGTAAAGAATAAATTTTCAACCCTAATAAACACTTTCATTAAAATAGCATTTTTCCTGCCAATTCTTCTATATTTTATAACATACAAACAAAAAATGAATCAATCATGTAATCCAATCCAAAAATGCATAATTTCATGTTATATCGAAATCAATAAGTGCTTTCGAATTAATAATAAATACGAACCAAAATAATCCATTCTCAAAAAATAACAGAAACATTAAAATTGAAAATTTGTACTCACTCTTTCCAATGCCAGGTTTCTTACAATGATGCTCACAAGCTCCAACAGTTGCGAAATTATTTTTATTACCCTTACATCCACCGTAATTGAATTGAACACACGAATCTTGTTCCTTATCATAAGCCCATCTTTCAAATGAACCACTACAAATACCAGGTTCAATTGACTGCTCGCATGCAGCTTAATAAGAAAATAACATTTTTATTAATAATGTAAATGAATATCATCAAAGTAAATAAAAAAAAATACTTACAGCCCTTATCGTCGACCACACACTGAGTTTGACAATCTTCAATTTTCTCGAAACGATTCGCATTACCAAGACATCCACCGTAGACAAATTGAGAACACACATTTCTGTCGCTATCATAATGCCACATTGGATAATATCCAGTACATGGTCCATGAATTTTCGGCAAATGACAGGCATCCTTTCCAGTAGGTTCGACGCATGTTGTTTTACAATCTGATTCAGTTTCGAAACGGTTATCGTTTCCGCCACATCCACCATACCTTTGTATCAAATGAAAAAAAAAGATTAATTTAAATAACAGTTTGAAAATTAGACTTAATATCTTACCAGAAACGACTACAACCACCATATTCCGTATCGAAGAAATATTTAACTGTATAGTTATCATTACATGATCCCATATCCTTTTTAAGACTACAAGCTTTCTGTGGTGACACAGGCACAAATTCACATCCTTCAAATTTATCTCCTTGAGCATCTGTAACTCCATCTGGACAGCATCCATATTTACTGGTAGCACAGTTACATCCTTCAAAGTTTGGTCCATTTGCTGGTGTAAGATTATCGGAACAACATTTAAATTCACTGTTGGAACAATGACATCCTTGATTATGGGGACCTGTAGCAGTTGTGATTCCATCTGGACAGCACCCAAATTGATACGATTGACATGGACATCCAGCATAACTTTCTCCAGCAGCTGGAGTAGTATCATCAGGACAACAACCATGGGGAGAATATTTGCATCCACAGCCATCGTTTTCTGGTCCCCTTGCTGAAGTTTTATTGTCTGGACAACAACCATAAGGTGAGTATTCGCAACCACAGCCTTCCAAATTTGGACCACGTGCTTCAACAATGTTATCTGGACAACATCCGAAAGCCGATTGTAGGCAACAACCTTCATGAAGAGGTCCATGTGCTGGTGTCTCATTATCTGGACAACATCCAAATTGTGCATTTCGACATAGTGCACAACCTTCAAAGTTAGGACCTTTTGCATCAGTAACATTATCTTGACAACATCCAAATTCAGATGCAAAGCAACCTGTTGGCTTATCAGCACATCCTTCAAAATTGAGACCTGTAGCTGTTTCAATTCCATCTGAACAGCATCCATACTCCGTGTCCTTACAAGTTTTTGGTGCTTTGGTAGGTTTACTTGCTTTTGGCTTCTTAGTTGTGGAAGTTGTAGTAGGAGCCTCAGTTGTTGTTGTTGGAATAGGACAACCTTCTTCATCATTTCCTTCAGCAGCGGAAATTCCATCTGGACAACATCCGAATAGTGTATCTTTACAATCTTCTTTTGGACAGCCTTTTCCGTGAACACCTTTAGCAGGCGTGAGACCATCAGGACAACAATTGTATTTTGTATCTTTGCATGTTTCTATGACTGTACACCCTTCATCAAATGGACCAGTTGCAGCAGTCTTATTGTCTGGACAACAACCAAATTGTGAAAGTAAACAAGCAACTGGTTTCTTTGGTCGTGGTTTGCATTTCTTGGGTTTAAGTTCTGTAGTGATAATATCATTGAGTGTTGCAACAGATGATGAGTCTGTGATTGTAAAACCTTCATCATCTGGAATATTTGTTGTACTCCAAATGTCAACTGTGGAAGATTCAATCGTTGGCTCTGTCGTTGTATCTTGTTCGAAAGTAGTATTTATCACAGTAGTATCTGTTATTTCAGTTTCTGATTGAGTTGTTACATCTACAATTGTTGTACTTTCTCCATTTGTAGTTTCCTCAACATCAGCTGTTTTGGTTGTTTGTTCATCAACTGTCGTTGTTAAATCTGCTTCATTTGATTCTGTGGTAGATTTTTGGATCTCCGTAGTACTTGTAATTTCAGATGAATCTGATGTTTCAGCAGTCGTTGACACAATCGTCGATGCATCAGTCGAAACCTCAGTCGATGCATCAGTCGAAGCTTCAGTGGAAGCCTCGGTCGTTTCTACTAAAGATGAAGTTGTTTCTGTAGAATCAGATCCTTCAGTTGATTCATCTTTAACTTCCGAAGACGTACTGATTTCTGTAAATTCTGAACTATAATCAAAACTACTTGTTTGAATTTCGTAATCACTTAAACTCTTAGTTGTTATGCTTCCTGTCTCAGTTGTGGTATCTTGAACTGTTGTATCTTGCTCTGTTGTCGATTTCTCATCACTAATAGTTGTGCTTTCACTCGTTTCAAGTGAGCTCGATTCAATTTCTGATGTACTTGTTTCTGGCGTTAAACTTGTCGAATCGGATTCTGTTGTTATGTCTTCACTAACTGTTGTTGATTGCATTTTCGAAATTTCTAACGATGATGTTGATTGATTATCTTCCGATGTCACTGATTCTGTTGTTTCTTCAGGCGAAGAAGTAGGAGTCTCTGCTGTTGTAACAGATTCAAAGGATTTTGAAATCATTTCTGATGATGATGATGATGGAAGTGATGATGAAGAAGATAAATCAATGACTGATGTGGACGTAAGATCTTCAGACAACGTGGTTGGTTCACTCAGTTTTGATGTTTCAGAGTCTGTTACTAATGATGACAATGTAGTTGCGTCTTCTATTGAACTGCTTATAAATGCATCAGTGGTTGAAGTTTTGCTTTCAAGTTCACTTTCAGTAGACAGAGTAGTTGATATGTCAACTTTCAATGTGGAAACGGATGAAAGTGATGAAATGGCGTCTGCACCACTACCTTCGTCAGAACCAGAACCCTCGGTTGATGGAATATCTGTAGAATCGTCGCTTGAAGTAACATCAAAATCTGAGGCTGTTCCATCGCTAAACATCATATCCTCAGATTCAGGTGACCCTTCAGTCGATGAACTTGGAGAAAGATCTATTCCTGTTGTAAATTCACTTTCAGCAGTAACTTTCATAACACCTTCCTGAGTTATTGCCTTAATTGTTGAGTCTGATTCGGAATCATAATCTTCATCACACCATTCTTCGCTTTCATCATCTTCTTCTAAAGGTTTACTTGTTGTATCAACAGGAAGTAAATCATCATCAACACATGCATCTGTATTACAGTCTTCACTGCTAAATATGATTTTATCTTCGTCACAATGTTCAGGACCAACCACAGTTTGATTTCCACCCAAACAAATGACTTTTCGGCTTCTAATACCACCACCACATTTTTTAGCACATTCCGTCCATGGTCCTGCAAACCATTGTGCTGGACATTCAGATGGACCATCACATTCTCTTTCATTTTCTGGTTTTTCACTTTCATCACATTTACTTTCATCAGCCTTTTTAATTTCGTCATTTTCAAGTCTACCGCATACAACTGTTCTCGTTTGAACACCCTTACCACATGATGCAGAACATTTTGACCATTGTGAAGTAAACCAATTATAATCACAAGGCATTGAAGTACAAGGTCTCGAAAGCTCTGGTTTCTCACGTTTTTCGCAAAACTTTTCATCATAAACTTTTCCACTCTTTGATGCACAAAATGCCAAGCGTGTTTCAATAGTAGCGTCACAAGAATCGCACTGTATGCATCAAAAATTAGTTAAAAATTAAAAAAATATTTATTTACAAAAAAATCTTACTCCGCTCCAACTTGAGACAACATAATCGACACCTTCACATGGCTGTAGCATACAATCCATCTCATCTACTGGTTTCTCGTCAAGACAATCTTTATCATCTAAAACTGTAATTTTTCCATTTTCTTCCTTTTGATAGCAGACAACTTGTCGCGTTTGTTTTCCTTCGCCACATAATTTATTGCATGACTGCCATTTTCCAGTGAACCACAATGGACAGATTTTACCCTCATTGCATGATGCAATTGTGGCAGGTTTGTTGCCAACAAGTTCAAGGCATTCTTCATCCTCAATGACACTTACAGCTCTATACGAATCACAAAAAGGTTCAAAGAAAATTTAATTAAAACATTATTTCATATACTTTTCATTGTGTTTTATATTACCCATCAGCTTTGATAGCTTCACAGTGAACTTTACGTTCTCGTGTACCATTATTACCGCACGGAGCTGTACATTTGCCCCATTCACTTTCAATCCATTGTGGAGCACAATCAAGTAATCCACATTTCTGCATTTCAGCTGGTTTTTGTGAAGAATCACAAAGTTTTGGATCGACTGTTTCCAATGAACGTTGACTGGTACACGTAACATTGCGAGATTGGTGTCCACCACCACATGAAACAGAACATGCTTCGAACTTTGTAAATGCCCACGAGTATGTATCTGGTTCTTCTGGAGCTACTGCTTGTGGAACACTATACTCATATTGAACACCGACATTTTGATCTTGCGAAAGTAACTAGGTCAAAGAAATTTTAAATATTTGTAAAATAAATTAGAATAAATGATAAACTTACAACTAAATAAACAGCTTCTGTTGTAGGTCCCAAACATGTAATTCTATCAGGCGCTGCAAAGCCATTAGGCTTTCTTTCATATGTCCAAAGACTTCCAGCAAATGGCATGGGCCGAGGAAAATCAATTCTATAATTTCCATTAAGATAATAATGTCCAGTAAGATTACGAATTGCCAAATAATTATTTGATGGCGAACGTTCATAAATTTCAATATTTGTTGCACCTTGCGGAATTAGCAAAATGTCATTGTAACCAACTTGTAAATTATTCATGTCCAATACGCCAGTAACAGTTTTACATGACGATCCATCACCTTGACATGTTCTGCATTTGTCCTCACGTGCTGGTGAACCAAGCATTAAATTACAGCCAACAGGCTAAATATGAAATGGTTATAAAAAGTAATTCATCAATCATGCAATAAAAAAATAAAATAAAACTTTTATATCCATGAACATACCTGACATGTGCCATCAACACAAACATCTACTGAATGATCATTACATCGTGTACCATCAATGACTTTTGACTTATGGCGAAAATAGAAGCGTTCACCCCTAGGCATGCAATTTAATTCACATGGATTTGGAGCCTTAGTATATGGCACCCAGTTATAATATACTCCTTCAAATGGCGTTTTATCAAAAAATGAACATTGTTGATGTCGAAAGTCAGGTTCATTTTCTGGACAGTCTTGAGTATTGCATGAAAAATATTTCTTATTTCCACCATTGCATTCTGGTTCTCCATTTGCCTCAAATAAAAGGCATTCTCTTGTTTGATATGCTATTCCACCACCGCAACTTCGAGAACATTCTGAAGGTGCTCCCCATGGTCCCCATTCGTGTTCATTTCCTTCACCTTCCGGTATAATAAAACTTTCGGGAAGATATAAATTGGCACCATGCTGTCGTTTATGACGTTGAAATTGCAGCTGAAAATTATTTATTTATTTTAGTTCCTTTTTTCTAAGTTAAATTTTAAAAAGCCAAAAATCTTCAAAATTTTAGGAAATTTTAGGAAATTGTGAATGTTTTTAAGTTAAGTTTAAGTTTATGAAGGAAATGTTAAAAAATAATTCTAAAATTCACATCTCGAATACTAGAAATCTTCTAATATTCCATTTATTTCGATTTTCTTTCTTTTATACTGGGAATACTTTTATTATTCAACTTCAGTGTGCTTTAAGTGAATTTAAACGGAGCTGGTTCATCTTGATTCACACCAAATTTTAAATTTTAACTTACTCGTTTTGACTGCACTAAACTTAAATGTTGTGTGAGGATGAAAAATAGCAAAGCTAAAGATCTGAAAATATATTTAAAAAAAATAAAATAGGTTAGAACTGAAAGTAATTTCCATTGATATTAAAATGCTGAACTTATTTAGAATTGAAAAGTATTCTATAACAAGTTATGCTCATGGAACAATTAGACTTTAAATTATGATTTCCTTAACATGCTTAATTCCAATGAAACAGCACTTGAGTTATGGTAATAGTAAAAAAAAATTGCAGTTTCAATTTTTGAGCGATACTTTATGTGTATAAAATAGTTCGTTATGGTCTATTATACCAGAATTTCATTTTTTTTACAATTAGGTTCATTAGACTAACGAGAAAAATTTAAACTCATAAAATATTTTGCTCAAATTGGAAATAATCATGATTAATTTATTTTGAATTTCAAATGACTTTCTATTTATTTTATTAAAACTATTTTATGCAAATAAACATAGATAAAATAAAGTGTAATAACTTATTAAAACACCTTCACTTTATCAAGAGGAAGCTATCTCTGAGTATCACATATGGTTTCAACTCGATAAATTATATTCATGTAATTTGTAGTTTGTTACCACCTATAAAAAAAAGTAATGGTAATTTAATCACTTTATTTTATATTTCATTTATTTTCATTTTATTGACAATTGCGCTTAAAACTATATTCGGAAATCAATTTTCCAGCGAATTAAACACGCCGATAAGCTTTTTATTTTTATTTCATTCCCTTTTTGCATTTCAATAAACTTTTTTTTTATATTAATTTCGTCGAGATAAATTTCAATATATGTACCTATGTGGACACATAAAAGAATGATTGATATTTGTGTTATTTTCATCATCATTCTTCATGGTATGTAATTACGTCTTAATAATAATTCATTTCAATTCAAGACACTGAGTTGAAAAATAAATACTTTGGCATTTTCTTTTTTATTTCATTTAATTTCTTTGTGACAAAGGTTTTGCAAAAAATTCATACTTTTTTTTCATCTATTTTTCAGAAATTTTTCCCAATTTTATTATTTTACTAATTAGGTTTTTACAGTACGTGCACGAAAGTTTTACATACGAGGTCTATAATTCAATTTTCTCGTTATGAACTGAATCAGTCAAAACAAACAAAAAAAGAGTTTAAGTGAGAGAATGAAAGAGTTCATCATGATGAATATTTTATCATTTTTCCGCGTTACACATTTACATTCAACAATTTTAACATTTCGTATCGCTTCCCTCTCACATTCATTTTTATGTTCGAACATTAAATGAAACTGATTGCTATTACATATGGAGCTAAATTGATAAAGATGCGCCAAAAAATTATACAAATTGAAATTCTTTTCAATCAGCACGTTTTTAAGGATTTCTTGATACGAATACAATTGCTGTTGTCTTCATCTCATATTCTCATGGAAAATTTATAAATATAATAAAGTGTTTTATTTAATTCTACACGTGTTGAATTTTTATTTGCTTCTCCTTTTTTTTTTATTTTCTATGATGTTTTATGAATTGAATGTATGAGCGATTTTTTGAATACGAAAAATATATGAAATTATTATAATCTACTTTAAAAAAAAAATGAAACAAGAACTCAATTTTCCCAGAGTGAAATCAAATCGATAAAAGTGAAGTCGGATTTAACTCTTTTCTTTGCTCCCACTCATCTTTACATTTTTAATATTATTGTCTCCATCAATAGATAAAAATTGTGATTGAATTTGAAATAAACTGTGAAATTTTTTTAATAAGTTTATGCTTATGTAAGAGAAGATAATGATAATTTGGAGAATTATTAATTATGTAAATAAATACTTAATACCAAGCATGATACCATTAATCAGAAAATGAAAACATAAATGAATAGAGCTAAGCTAATATGCAAACATGCTATATGAGATTAACTTTAATTTATTAATTGGCGACAAATTGTCTGAAATAATGAAGATGATGATTGTTGAAGTTTTCTGTTATTTTTGAGATTCGCAAGACTTTAGCTGCACATTAAACGTTCCTTTCCATATATAATTATATATTTGTACATACAAGCGAGTAGATTTTGTTTAAATTTATGACGTTGTAAGTAAAAACTCTTTTTGGCAACCAAACATGGCAACATATTTCCAGCTTTGTTCTATTTGCATTGTAAGTTAATTATTTTTAAACATGCTAGAAGGAAAATTTTTTATTAAAAAAGTTCCATAAATTCAACTAGTTAAATGCAATTAGTTTGTTTGTTATTTGTTCATTGTTCCAAATATACATGAAGTTTATTATTAACTTTCCATTACTAAAAAATCTCTGTGGAATTTTTGCCAAAACAAATTTAATAGGATAATGCGAACATGTCGTGCATAATTAAAACTTAAATTTTCAATATTCTAAAGTTCTTGATGCATTTATTTTTTAAATTTAATAAAAGCAAAATAGAAATGACAAATATTTTAAGTTCAAAGTTGATGGAATGTTAAACAATTTTATATTTTAATATTATTGTTTTTATATGCATCAAACTATTTATGAACAAATGAGAATGAAAAATTTATAGTTGTTTTATTTTTAATATGTTAATATCCAAATGTAAAATGATAAAAGAATTATGAGTGTTATTTAAAATTATCTATAATTGTTAATTAGCAAGAGATTATTGTGGCACTTTTTACTACTGTAGCTAATTAGTTTTTCAATTTTTGCAATACTAGAAGCAAGGCGTGGAAACTGTCCCAAATATCCCATTTATCCCATATATCCCAAAAATATTCAAAATAATCCTTGAGCCTGTATGTATTAGAATTGAAATATCCCATCATATCCTGAAATTACACGTCCAATACAATAAGGATATCTTTACTATCGTATAAACAAGCTCAGGAATTTTTTGAATATTTTTGGGATATGTGGGATAAATATGATATTTGAGATAGTTTCCACGCCTTGACTAGAAGCCATCGTCATTACCACAGCTATTTAATTGATACCACAATAATTCACAAGTGTGTCAGCATATATTCATAAATGAGTACGAAGGGATACATTTGGCTTTTGTATAAAGAGCAATTAAGTCAATTAAAAACATTTCATTACATATTAAATTCCAAAAAACAAAAAATATCATTCTTTGTAGGGTAAATCTAAAGATTTCAGAATATTTAATTTACATAATTAAAACGCTCTTTACTTTTTGTATACATATGCAGTACCGATTCTCTCATAACAGATACTCCTACAATTTTTTAGATTTTAAGTCCCGGAAAGGCTTTGTAATTATGGAATACTAGTGGTTTTGGGCCCCGTTTTGGGTAAAATATTTAAGTCATAAAATATTTTAGTAACCCTACAATTTTTATTATTTGCTCAATATCCACAACACCAATAATCATACTAATTATAAAATATTTCCTAGTGACAAAAAAAAGATGGAATCAAGCATTGTCAAAAAAGGATAATGTTCTGATTTTTGTATGAAATCATAAACTTTATAAATGCAAAAACTCAGTCTTCAGGGATCAAAAAATTTAAGAATGCATAAAACAATCGTGCACTCAGCATTTAAGAGATATATAGTAAGGATATGGATATATAAATATGAATTCAGTCGCACACAGAAAAGTTAATATTGAATTTTATAAACCATCACATTTGAATAAAGTACATTGCGAATAACTGACATAACGCAAATAATCTCATGTGATCTACAGATTAAAATTGAAAATTTGTGTGAGGACAAGAAATTGAAAACAGAAGATAATTAAAATATTAGAATATGCACATTAATTAAATGTCAACACGAGAACATATAATATGAAAATGAACACAAATGTATTTTAAACAATATCAAAATTTTGTCATAAGAGATACAATGAAACCTTTTTTGGCACATACTTATGATGTATTATTTCTGTATCATTATTTCATCACGACATAGGTTTTAGTAAAGAATTTTAAGATGTTAATTATCTTTTACCTATTGTTTCAAACGTCAAGTGTTAATCATGCTGAATACACAAAACGAAATTTTGATATGGTTAAAATAGACAGAATTTCTAAAGGCTTAGTCTTTTAATTTTACATGTATTATATTTCTTTACCGAAAGTTAAAATCTTGCCTTGTGTTTCCCATTATTACAATGTTTTAAAACATATATCTACATTTGAAAATCATTACTGTTGAATGATAAAGGTTCATAATTTAATTTTCTGCCATAATAAAATAAATGAACTTTTAAAATTTTCTCCGTATTTTTGTGGAAACCCGTGGAAACGTTTATAATTTTTAATCATCGTTTTCTTAAATAATAAATCAAAATTTTATGCTTTACAAGTAATGTTTAAATAATTAAAATACATACAAAGGAAAATTGTTGATGTAAGGCAGTGATTGTTAACCCATGTGCCGCGGCACACTAGAGTGAAATTTAGGAAAAATCCTACCTATGTCTTGTGCGGTTTAAGTCATCGCTTATTACCAATATGTGCCGTGGCACCAAAAAAGGTTAAACACCACTGATGTAAGAAGAAATCACTATGATAAGAAATATAACAAAACACTGAGTGTTTCGGTTTTAAAATATCAACATACGAAATGGCAAACAATAATGATAACATTCAAATTTACACAAATTAAAACCTTCTTTCATCATTCCTTACAAATGTACATTTAATAAATAATAAATTTTCAGAAAATTTACATCCATTTTTGGCAAGAAAAAGTATTCACATATGGTACTACGCTCATTGTTTAGGGTTTAGGGTGTTGTATATTAAAACATACGTGTAATTTTATATGTGAGTCTTAGCTTTTCATTTATTAACACGAGGATGTAAGAAAGTAAATTTGCAAGGAAACCATTAATGAACTCATTAGAATGTGTGAAGATGTGAATGAATTTCGAAGAATTCCATTGTTTCTTCTTAATCCAATGATGTTAATATACTTTTAAAAACACAAATGCGAGCGTTATCACTTAAATATGCACAAATCTCGTGAGAATGGAGGCACAAATGAAAAAAAAATTCATTCCAAGCA